ACGCACAGCCGGGCACCACGAAACCGCCGGCCACACGCACAGCCGGGCACCATGAAACCGCCGGCCACACGCACAGCCGGGCACCACGAAACCGCTGGCCACATGCACAGCTGGGCACCACAAAACCGCCGGCCACACGCACAGCCGGGCACCATGAAACCGCCGGCCACACGCACAGCTGGGCACCACGAAACCGCTGGCCACATGCACAGCCGGGCACCACGAAACCGCTGGCCACACGCACAGCTGGGCACCACGAAACCGCTGGCCACATGCACAGCCGGGCACCACGGTATCACCGACAACAGGCACAGCCGGGCATCACGGCACCGCTGACAACACGCACAGCTGGCCACCACGGCACCGCCGGCACCACGGCATCGCCGACCGCACGCACAGCCGGCCACCATGGCACCGCCGACAACACGCACAGCTGGGCATTACGGCACTGCCGGCACCACGCACACCAATGGCCACACACTGGGGCCCGAGGGCAGTGGGGTCATCTTTACTGTTGGCAGCTGGACTGTGTCCTCAGGTGCTTCTCGGTGCATCCAAACGGTCTGCTTCGGATGAGCAACCAGTGCCGTGAGCCCCGAGGGAGCCCCCCAGCAGGTCAGGAAGCACTGCTGTCCCCGTCCTGGGTGACAGCAGCTCAGTCCACAAGTGGAGCAGGGAGGAGGCTGAGCCAGGTGGGGGCCCGCCCACCCGAACTTCTGCTGCGACAGCAGGGCCTGAATCCACTGCCCAGTGCCCGGGCTGGGGGAGCAGCCGGGAGGAGGGCCACGCCACGCTCTACGGGCAGACGGGCCTGCTCGTCACATCTGCTTCCGGGTCAGGGCCTTCAGCAGAGGTCTTGCTGGAGTGGAAGGAGCTGTGTCCTCGGCCTGGAGGCACTGGACAAGGGTACCACCCTCTGACACATTCCCCATCGTTGTGCAAGGTCCTCCCTGGAGGACGCGGTCACGCTCCCGATACCCGCAATGTGCACGCACACACTCATATGCGCACACACAAGAATCACGCACACATACATAGATGTGTGAAGACACACATACACACCCCCACACACACTCGTGTACACACACACACACACAGCACCTGAAAACCCTCCCCAGGGCTCCCCGGATGTGGGTTAATCGAGATGGCATTTCTTTATCGTCTCAACAGGAGCTGACACTCCACACCCTCCCCACAGCCAGGATTCGGTTGACTGCAGCTGTCAGACCACTGACAGCGCCGGAGGTCTCCAAGAAAGCAAGAGCAGAAGAAAAGAGGATGCTGTCAACAAGGTGAGATGCGACAAGGGCCCCGCAGACACTGTGCCCATTGAAGGGCTGCAGCAGGACTGGTGAACCCCTTCACCGAGCTCCGAGGACTAGTTAAACCCATTCACTGAGCTCCCGCAGTGGGACTAGTCAACTCCTTCACTGAGGTCCCACCATGGGACTAGTTATCTCCTTCACCAAGGTCCACGGAGGACCAGTTAACTCCTTCACTGAGCACACGGTTTCCCCTAAGAAGTTACCCCACAGCAGCTGGTTTCGACCGTTTTTTGAGGTGTGTGCAGAAATGGGGTTCACAACAGAGGGATGACTTCTTTCAGCAGGCCAATCACCCCACAGGGGTTTTGATGGGACTCTCAGACCTCAGAGACTTCCCTTTGTCAGAATGGCTGTGAAGGCAGCTTACCGTTTCCCTTTTCATACAACGTCCCTGTCCCTTTTGTTCTGATCTTCTCTCCTTGGTTTAACTTGCGGAACCCTGTTTCCAGCGGCTTTACTGTTTAACTGGCCAGCTGAGAGCCACAGTCTGTATCCTGCTCCTTGGCGGGATGTGTCACCGACGATGCTGACTGCATAGAGACCCTGCCCTGTGCGACGCCGCCCTCAGCATCTCTGTCCTCCTCAAGCCCATAGCTGCAGTCACCGTCTCAACCCAGGCCACTGAGGGCTTGCCTCTCCTCCGCTGACCCTCCAGCATGTCTTTTTCCAAAGCCGTGCCCCTCCTGTTAACATGCCCAATATACATGAAGTGAAGGCCCCCGTCCTCCCCACATGATCACCATGGTTGCACTGCCTCTGCGATGTGTCTGTCTATGGGACAGTTGTCACTTGTCACCACCACCATTCAGAGGCGCCGTTATCTTTATTCACTCTTACATGCGTATGAAGCGATGAAAAGACCACGGCTTCAATCAGACACACCGTAGTTTTTATAGCCTTGCTCTTTAGCCCTTTAAGAGATTCTTCACAGGAGATGGGCCCAATACAAGACGTCTTCGGATTTGTTTGTGCTACTCCAACAGGACTGAGGATCCAACGTCAATCTTCTCTCGATCTATTACAAAGGGGCTTCACGCCTTTTGTTCGTAGGGTTGCTGTGAGTTGTGCTCAACTCGAAGGCAATCAACAACAACAACAACGTCGTGATGTTGCCTGTTGGCCCAGTGAAGATTTGTGTTGTTTTTTTATGTTGAGATGTAATCCATATTGAAGGCTACAGTCTTTGATCTTCTGTGTACGTGCTTTGAGTGATTCTCACTTCCTGCATGCAAGGTTGTGTCACCTGCACAACACAGGCTGATGACGAGTCTTCCTCCAATCCACATTCTTCACACAGTATGTGGTTGTTGTGTACGGGAGTCGTAAGCAATCCAGAGCTGACCTTTGGAAGGTTTATCACACGGGAGGAGACTGGATGACGTCCTGGATTAGATGTTAGACCCCTTTCCTGATTTTAAACCATGCAGGGTTCCTTTGTTCTATTCAGACAACTACTAATTGTTTATGTACAGGTTTGTTGGTTGTTTTTATTTTTTTTTGTGTGTGTGTGTGTGTGAGTGTACCATCAAATCAGATCTGACCGGTACAGGAGGAAATTGTCCCTCCTTCCCCGGCAGAGCATCTGGTGGATTTGAACCGTGACCCTCTGGGATTGTAGTTGCAGCTCCTTGCCACCAGGCCACCAGAGCTCCCATATGTACAGGTTTTAAATGAAGTGAAGGAAAGTTCTGGAATTCCTAGTTTGTTATAATTCACAGAGTCAAACGCCTTAGCCCAGTTGTTCTTGGAGAAGCTCTCAGTGAAGAAGGGAAAGATTTTTATTTTTCAACTAAACTAATAGAAAGAAGCATCTCTGAGGAGTCAGAGAAATGTAGAGCGAGCTGCTGACACAGAAGCTTAGTTTTAACTCAACCTGCGGGGAAGCTGAGCTAATCCTTACACCCGGCTGCCAACACCAAGAAAGCCTGGAGGGAAGGCAGGGCGGGGTTCACGATCACGTGCACTACAGCCCCCCCCCCCCCGAAGAGAGAAAAAAAAAAAGAAAAAAATTCCTTCATTAGTATACAATTCCCCCGCCCCCCCCCCGAGACACTTGCTCCCGGGGAAGGCTGTGCCGGGACACACGGCGGCGGGCCAGGAAGACCTCTGACTGCACTCCTGAAGGGATTTGCAGGTGCACACGAAAGCCTGCAGTATGAAACAGTCCGGGGCAAAGATGAGAAGGCAGTCTCCCTCAGCAGAGTAACACCCCAACAGAGACCCAGTTCAGGAGCTGGCCGACTCCTAACAGGATCTCATTCTTGGGCCCGGCAGCACCGACGTGCAGGACATGGAAGGAGTTAAAGCCCTAGACCACACGTTCTCGGCTTGTTAGGGGCCTTCAAGATTTACAACAACTGAGGCAGGGTGAGGTGGAGTGAAGGACACAAATCACCTCACGACAACCCCAGCGGCCACATCCAGAGATCTGTTAGCTTCAGCTCCATCAGGGCA